ACCCCCCCCCCCCCCCCAATATTTTTGTCAGGTTAAACCAGAAATAGGCCATTTTCGATATATTAAAATTTTAACTTGGCTCCGAGGCTTGGGGCAATAAAAAACAAAACCTCGGTGTGACCTCTTGTGTTTTATTCCCCCAAACCTTGGAGCCAAGTGAGATTTTTAATATCGTAAAAAAGACCTATTCGCCGACACCAATTTTTATAACTGTTATATTAGTGTATAGCGCTGGCCTGTTCTCTCTACCAATTGAAATGTTTACTTCTTTTTCGTATGTAGAGAAATTTGTTAACAGGCTCTTTCTTACCAAACTGGAAGAAAACAACATAACTCTTGCCTGTGAGAAACAAAATGAAGAAAACACTAGTTTTGTAAGACCCAGCCTCAAGTAAGTGTACTAAATTAATTTTATTATATTACTGTCTTGCAAAAACGAAGCGCTAACATATTTACCAGTACCTGTGCACATATTTACTACCTGTGTGTTGAATTAAGTATATCATATCATCAGGAAGCGAGCGTGTTTTCAGTCTCAACTTGTGTAAAAATTTCAAATTTAGTACATCCCTTTTTCGTCTAAGGACACGTCCTAGGTCATAGTGGGTTTTTTTCATTTATTTATTTACTTTTTTACCACAATTGCTACTAATCTCGCAATCTGATTAGCTAATTTGCCGTTGTCGATAAGAGTCCAGACAACGCTGCTCGCGTCAATGTGTCACGCAATGCCTTTTTCAGCTCGCGCTCTGAAAACAAAAGACATTTTCTTGGACGTTGATATTGGGGTAAAAAACAAATCGAAATGTGGTTTAGCGTGGTCTGTACTCTTATCGACAACGGTACGCGTCATCACAGTGGTCAAAGTGTTGTGGACTCACGAGGCACAGTCGAGTGAGTCCACAACAAATTTTGACCACTGTGATGAGGCGTATCGTTGTCGATAAGAGTACAGACCACGCTAAACCACATTCGATTTGTTAAATCGACTTTCTGAGTAGAATGAGCTTCAGTAACTATCCACTGTGAGCAGATTCCGTCTTGAACAGTTCCACCCCGTTTTTATACCTTTGAATCTCTAGGATCGCCAAAGTTGTTTTTGCTATTTTTTTTTTGAAAAGCTAATGTTCTTGACAGTGGAGAAGTTTGGTTATCTAAAATATCAGCTAATAGTCTTGGTGATGCTCATTTCATAGAATTGCTGTTGATGGACCTTATGGAAGCCCATGTATGGTAAGACAGGCATCATTTTTAAATCTTCGTTAGCATGTCATCTTTTTATGCAGCATTCAAAGTCGAGAGTGTAAGAATATATTTTTGTGTTGTACAGAAAGGTTTTGGAAGTTTTTCGAGGGAGCTGAATGTATGTGTAAGCTAGCTTTATTTTGTGCCGAAGCTGGAATTATGAGTTTGTGTGGAAGCCGCATGATGAGTTTTGAATGGAATTGCTGAGTTTTATTGGTAAGCTGAGTTTTGTTGAAAGTGTTGCTGTTTTTGTTGTGTTGTTAAGTCGGGAGTCGTTGGGCCGTGTGGATGTTGAGATCTGTGTTGGATCTCAGTCTCGTGTGTAAGTTCATTCTGGTTTGAAAGTAAGCAGTAACCACGGTGACATGCACATAGCTCCGTGTTTAGTCCTTGCTTAGTAGACCCCTCTATAATCTCCACCCAGTGGTGATGTCTACAGCGCACATCCCTCACCTTTATAACGTGTATATCTGTTATTGGTTTTTTTTTTCTTTTTTCAAGGATATTTGGAGATACGATGTCACTCTTTGTATAGCAACAGGAATCGGTATCACTCCATTCGCCGCACTTATCCATGAACTCAGGTAAAGCGTTGTTAAGCAGAGCTTAGAGGAGCAACGTCGCGACTTATGAGTCACTTTTTTTCGCTGTACAAAATTACCTCTATATGGAAAGAAACCTCAAAATAATATTTTGCTAAATTAGAAAAACACCAAGGAGGCAATAATACACCAAAACGGAACGAGGATGGTTAAGGATGGAGAAGATTAACACGGATTACAAAAGAAGAACTTGAAAAATTTAGGCTAAACTTGTTAAGATTACCGAGCCATGACGTAGGGTTAATAACCCCCTGGGAAGGAATCCCATGAGAAGGGGATGCGATACTCGTCGTCTCTTTTCAGGGAGTAAATGATGGATTTTGGAATCACTTAGGATTTTGAGAAGTGTTTTTACCAATTAAGGCATCTTGTAGCGGTTGCACGCGCAGAAATTACGAAAACGCCGTCATACTACGTAGATGGTTTAGCGATGAAATTTCTCTCTATATAAGAGGATGCAATGGCAATTAAACTAAAAAATAGCTCGTTTGTTATTAGAAGCGCCCAGGGAATTTTTCCGAAACTTGTCAGTAATGCTCGTTAAATTTCCGACAATTGACAAGGGCCTCCCAGAGAGGTGAGTAGCACGATCCCTTGATCCCTTGAAATTTCTCTTTTTCTCTACTGTAGAATTATTCTTAGGCATTTCATGCAAGGGCAGGAGTTTCATTAAACAGCTAATAAGATTTAAATTGCTGAAATACCCCGTAAATTTTGAGGGTTGACTCTAACGACGAAAAATAAGGGGCCACACGAGGGAAAGAAAATAATGGGCCACACGAGGCAAAGAAAAGACTGCACTGTATAACTATGTAACTGAATTGTGTAATTGAACTGTTCATCCTTTACAGACACGAGATAAAAGCAAGGAAATGTTTAAAGCTACACAGATTGTATTTTGTGTTGGTTTGTAAACACCTAGACTCGTTTCAATGGTTTGTGGACCTTTCACGCTCCGTTCACGCCGAGGTATGAGGTTTGCATGGTGCATATGGAAGTATTAGTACGTTACGCATCCGTCTCCTGGGCCTTCAGTAGTGTTTTGCAAACCCGTTAATCATAAAAATTACAATTTCCTCGATTGTGATTGGTTTAAAAAACTCCTATTTTCCACTAATTCACTTGCCAAGTTGTTATCAGACAGTTTGTTNGTGATATGCATTGAAATAGTCACGATTGCGGTGGAAAGTGAACTTGTTTAAAACGAATAAGCGCCCTTTTTGGTCCCTTGTTAAAATCATTGAAGGGGAAACTTCTGTGGACATTGTGTCGCAGATGAGATGCAATTAAACGTTATTGGGGCTGTATCGGGGCTAGTCCATTGTTTGACTTATTTGCATCGCCTATGATTGAATTGTGCGATATCTTTTCGTTAGACAACCATTCAATCGGTGCAGTTTTTGTGCGATTTCTGGGGCTGAGATATTTTGCGGGTCACGTTTGGCTTTCCGCTTGAAGGGAAAAACACACCCACGATTGATGCGGATTGAACAGAGCGAAGTTTGTAATAAGGTATTAGTCGTTACATTTTGCGTGTTTTTGACCAGATGTGGGACCCTAACGAATTTTTGATTTTTTGGCGGGTTTAAAAAAAATTTTCACGAAAAAAATCCCTCTGGAAGGAATATGAAATATTTTGATTTTTCGTCATGCGCCACGACTGGCGCTGCGTTAGTGGACCGTTCCCTCTTAATACCAAAATGGCCAAAATCGATACCCTATTTCTGACCAAAACGGCTAAAAATCCATATATCCTTTGGGCCTGCACATACCTATATAGCCCATAAGGGATTATCATGGAGGGAGGGGCGGGGGAGGTTAGAAAGTAAGAAAAAGCCAAAACAATCAAATGCAGACTTTTGGCTATTAAAGCGAGAGAGAACCTGAATTTCTGTTAGCAAACACGATCCAAGACTTCAAGGCATCACCCCCTTCAAACTACTTCAGAAAAAAAAATGTGAAAAGAGGAATTTCTTTAACCAACCTTATTGAAAACCCGCTTGACTGTCATCATTTCTTGTCATTAAAAATCCACAGGCATGAGGATTAAGGTGGCTGAACACAGTTTTTGATACCTGTGTTCATTCACCTTTTTCTCTAAAACCCTTGAACCCTCGGTCGCCAAAAATGGCAGCAAGCAAGTTAACAACACAAACTTTGGTTTTTTGATGGTTAGGCTGACATATGTGCCGTTGCCATGGCAACATGACTAAATATAAACAGGCCTTATAAAATCGGTTTTGTTGATTTATAGAATAGTCATCAGATTTTCTTTATAATTTGCATGCAACAATCTTTAACGATTCTCACAAGTCAACACCATTTTGCTAATAATTTAACAGAGATCTTTAATTATCCCTTGTTGAAGGTTTACCGGAATATCTAGAATTTTCTTTGTTAAAGTTCAATTATTTTGAATACTCCAGTTACTTATTTCCATAAGTATTTTCGTGCCAAATTTCGTGAAATTCTAATGAGTGGTTTTCGAGTAATAGGCGTATTTCCGAGAGTGCAATTTTCATTCAATCGCAATTTTTTGACTCAGTACGCATGCGCTGCATTTAACTGGGTTCTTTCGGTAACAAAGAAAAAGCTGAGAATTGCTGGGTTCTTTGCATCCTTACCTTTTCTAACATATCTTTCTAATAAAAGACTAAAGCCATCAATGCACTGGGTTCAATTATAGAGAAAAATAACGCAGATGGTGCAGGTGTTTAGTAAGTAAAATGATCGCTGTATTGACGGCATGTTTGTTTTTTTTGCAATCCTTGTGCGCGCGTTGAATTGCATCAGCAAAAGCGCGCGCGAAAACTGTGTTCGGCCACCTTANCGCTGCATTTAACTGGGTTCTTTCGGTAACAAAGAAAAAGCTAAGAATTGCTGGGTTCTTTGCATCGTTACCTTTCTAACATATCTTTGTAATAAAAGACTAAAGCCATCAACACACTGGGTTCAGTTATAGAGAAAAATAACGCAGATAGTGCGGGTGCTGAGTAAATAAAATGATCGCTCTATTGACAGCATGTTTGTTTTTTGCAACCCTTGTGCGCGCGCTGAATTGCATCAGCAAAGCGCGCGCGAAAACTGTGTTCGGCCACCTTAAACAAACTGACTTTAGCTGCTCATTCAATTTTGCAGCTTTGGGAGAGCAATCAACCAGATTTCCTTATATGTAACTTTTACGTCACAGGACCACAGTCCGAAGATCAGGTAATGCGCATGTCATGGATAGTGTCTTGATTTTAATTATGAGTATGGTATAAGCGTAGTGTGAAAACAATAACTAGAAAAATAACTAGAAAGAAGTTCAAAAAAAATGGAAGGTGCAATGTCTGCCTTCTGTTCAAGTATTGTGGCCTGTTGTCCTTTTTCAGTAATGTTTCTTTGTTCGCCGTCAGTTGTCAGTTTAGATTTTTTGATAGAGAGGTAAATCTGAGATGGTCCCATTTTCAGCTTGTCCTTACTCACCTAGCTGATGATAGAAACACTGTGCATATTTTTTTCTTTCTTAAAGGTCAGCATGAAGCAGCATCCTGAATGGCTCGCCAGCAGACTGCACCGACATAGACCATCATGGAGAACGGTGTTTGACAGAGTAAGCCGCGAAAATCCAAGGTAACTTAAACATTGATCATTCGTTTGTAACTTGAATATTCTAGTTAAGACTTTAAAACTGGGTTATTTACAAAGAGAACACGCGTACTTTAAGAAACAAACCTTTTTACACAACGCCTTGAATTCTAATACACTGCTGATTTACAAACGCGCTCATTTATATACGAATATTAAAAAATGAGATGCAGCTTATGAATTGCGTAATCTCCACTGCCTTTGGCCTCCCCCGCCCAACCCCCTGATTTAAAGTGGGCATTTTTATAACATACAAAGTTATTTTCAAAGACGTTTACTTAGTAGGCTGTATTTTATTCCGCTTTGACGACCTCTCAGTCTATTTTTTTTAAAATTTAATAGTCGGAATCAATAATAAGAACGTTACTTCTCGAATAATCTATCATGTAAAGAAGGTGTTTCTCTCTAAATAATGAGTTTTTACAGGAGTCCATCACCCGGCGATGGTCATGAGCTCCTGGCTTTTATGAATGTGAATAAAGAAATTAAATTGTATTTTACGTGCACAACTGCATGGTGCAATCTGAGAATACCCTGTAAATGGTCTTAGATCGTTACCCTGGGATATTCCCTCGTCATATCTGTTTATTGTCTTTTTTTAGGACCAAGGTTGGCGTGTTTTACTGTGGAAGTAGAAAAGTGACCTCAGTATTGAAAAATACCAGTCAGCGGTTTTATCCAACTCGAACGAAATTCATCTTCAATAAAGAAATTTTAACTTAACTTGACAAAATCAAGCAAACACGTTTTATCTCTCGCCTCTAAATGAAGCCTTAGGACAGGCTAAGCAAATAAACAAACGTGTACATGTAATACGCATCTGCAGACGTTTAAAACGTGGGAGAATGAGTCTGAACGAAGGTCGCGTAAAAGCGTCGGAACAAACATTACATGATAAGAAAGAAAAGAAAAAATAAAGACTGAACACAAATTAGGAACATCAAGTAACTTATTACCAGTAAACCTGGTATTTATGTTTGACCATGCCACATGAAAGATCCGGCTAAGCAATAGATTCCTGTCTGCAATAAGCGCCCTCTTGGACTACCAACATTTCACTAATCACCTCGCCTACAGGCACTAAATCGAATTTTTACTGTAGAGTTGCACGGCTGTTCCAATGGTTCCGTTCTCAGTCCTTGTTTTTAAAAATGCGTAACTCACTGAATTGTATATGTTACTGCAGAATGTGATTGTGCTTCACATTTTCTCTGCCATTACCAGACAAATCTCCTCTCACTGGCATATTTCCACACATTTCCTATACATGTATTACTAGTAGGAATGTTAGCGCGTTAACGCTAAATGTAAACAATTTCCATGTGGTAATCATTTCACTGCGTGCTTGAGCAACTACTTGGTGTTGTGACCAAACATATTCGTTTTTGGTCATCAAATACTCCGTTTGGGGCTTGAAGAATATTAAATGTTAATGCGGTTTACATAATTTGTTTACAACATAGGATTTACTTGTTTTGCTTCTTGCTGGCATGATGCTCCGTTGTTACAAGTGATGTTCTTCCCCGTCACAGTTTTCCTCGCCTCCTGAAGACGATCTTCTTTGAATCAACAGATAATTTGATCCACCGGCACTTGAAACAACCGAGAATGATTTTGTTATTTCTCCTGGTATTTTTCCCACCGAAGTGGGATCCCTTTTCTTCGCGTTTTTCATCTCCGTCGAAGTGCCATTAGCTGGATGCTTCTTAACATTTTTCTTGACTTTTCTTTTCGGTCGAATTCGTCTTTTCGCAGCCGTTGAAATATCAGGAAGAGTCAAAGATTCACTGTGCAAATTTTCCGCCATTCTGTTAAACTTTTGAAAACCGTTCCTTTGGTTTACCGGCGGCAGCTTTGGAGACTGATCGCGCAGTTCGGGAATTTCTTCTTTGAAATCTAGCGGTGTTATTATTGGCATTATTTGACAAAGTGTTATCCAACTCAGATTCCAAGTTGATTGAAACATTCAGATTTTTCCTCTACATTTTGAGGGAAAATTAACTGTTTTCTGACATTAATCCTTCTTGATTGTTGTGGTATGACAAAAAATACAGTAAAGTTAGCAGTATATTGAGAAAGCAGTTCGCCAATTTGCTGTTTTAAGATGGAAGCTTAATAGCTTTAGAAATTTGACATTTTCAGCGATTGCCAAGTGTTTTCGTTAATGGCCTTGTTATGCCGCAAACACCTGTCAAGGGAAATTGTTTAAAGAGGAAACTAGCTTCTCAGTCTCCAGTTCAATATAAAATATCACACCCACGTTCAAAGCAGTTTTTTTTTCCTCTTTCGATTCTGTTCAGTTCGGAAAACTTGTTTTTAAACTGAAAACCGAAAATCTCGAAAAGAGTTTAGAAGGGTTTTAAATTGACTACCACAAGCTAAGTAATTACGCGGAGCTCTACGATTGGTTAAGGAAATGTCTCACGTAACGTACTTTCTTATACGGTATTTAATTTTTAAGCAATCGCTGGCACGTTTTCTCGTGGTTTGACAGGAAGACTTGATCCATTGCACTAGTTGCATTTAATTTATTCAAGGAAAGGACTACAGCAAGATTTTGGTCAGTCTCGGATTTTTATTCAAACCCGGGCTTTTCTCTCTTGTATCACTTGTTTTCAGGAGTTGAAGTTTTACTGCGATTAACTGGATGTTAATCCACTTTGAAAAAAGAACTTACGATCAAAGAATTTAATTGTAGGCCGAAGGAGAATTACGAAGTTGACACGGTTAACCCTATCGCGAGCAAACATTTGGTCGCAACAGGGAAAACAAATATACGAGAAACGTAGATTGAACGGAGTGGCCCTCGGAACAATTTCCTAATCCTGAATCAAAGAACAGTAGGAATATTTATGATGTCTCTGGCCATGCTAATCAAATGCTAATCAAAAATTAGTGGGGTTACACCATATAGCATAAACAAGTAAAAATTGGCGATAAGAAAGAACACCGTTCGGTGACATCGTGACACCATTTTCAAGTTCAAATGCAAAAAGATAAACTGTCAGAAAATTCGCTCGAGATTAACATACTTCGTAATTACATACGCAATGTACATGTAATCGTAATTGTTTAGTGCAGGAAATGCTGCTAATTAGAGATTAACACCATCTCTCAATGTCCAGTCGGACTCAATTCAAGCAAAACTATTTGCGTAACATTGTATATGTAATTACGAAGTATGTTAATCTTGAGCGAATATTCTGACAGTTAATCTTTTCGCATTTGAATTTGAAAATGGTGTCACGATGTCATAGAACGTTGTTCTTTCTTATCTCTAATTTTTACTTGTTTACGCTTTATGGTGTAACCCCACTAATGTTTGATTAGCATTTTCACGCATAAGAATACACAGTAATCCAGTGCAATACTACTGCGATTATCAATTGAGTAAGGCGGGACGAAAGTTTGGTCACCAAGTTTTAACGTAAAAATCGTGTTGTTGTCATGAGCAACTGGCTCCGTATCCATTGGCAACTTGTCGGCCTTTGACGTCATTGGCCGGGAAAGCGCGCGAAATTGAAGACAACGCGACAGGCGACCAACGGCTGTTGATAATGTTACCAACGGAAACGAGGTAAGTTGCCCGTGACAACGTTATAATGTTAAGGCCAAAACTTCGTAACCAAACTTCCCTCGTGCCTTACTCAACTGATAATCGTAGTAATTGAATACCGTGCCAAAATGCTGACAAAGCCTGGAAAGCATGAAGTGAACTTTAATCAAGAAAAAAAAGCATAAGAAGCACTTATTGAATCTCTTTATTCATCGTAATTCTTATGATGATCTCGTAATGTAGTGCGTATCGTTTGGTGTAATATTTTGCGCCATACACGCACCTTCAGTTCAAAACTCAAAATCAATTTCAGTTAACTTCGTCAGTGTCATAACCAGCTTTCCAAACGTGGCAACGCCAAGGCTCTTTAAAAGAAAAGTAAACTACAAATTTATTCTATCCACGAGCATAGAATACCAACAGTATGCCAAACTGCTTTGTAATAAAAACTACACATTGTCTGACTCACATCAACATATTTTCATTCGTTGGCAACATTGAGATCACTGAATTCTTGCTACCTGCGTTAAATCTTCTTTTTGGCGTATTGCATTCGACTGAAACTATTTATTTACTTTAGTTATAGGCTGTGAGGAAAAACACCCAAATTCTGCAATTAGTTTTGAAACAGGTCTCGTCTATATAACCTAATGTTTCTTTTGGTTTGGTGATGTGCGCTTGGTATGTGATAGTTTTGTAGCATTCCACTGACTTGGATACACACCCTTAACATCACCTGTAGCTTTCTCTAGAACTCCAATGGCGGCCAAAGTCTTAAATTTTTAAATATAATCATAGCTCTAGTTATGCTAGTGAAATGAATCAATTTCGTTCTCTTTCCTTAAAATATGGAGGTTTTGAGTTCATTTCCCAATATCAGAACTGCAAATACTCGGCTTCTCTGGACGTGACGCTGTTGGTAGTAGGGATTTTAGTCAAAGACGAAGTCGACGCCTGAGGACGACCTCTGGTAAAAAGGGATATATATTTTACCTTTGAATTTCGCAATTATCTAGATCTGTTCAGCCCGCCGGTCGGTCTAAAAACTGCTCAAATTAAATACGTAACGCGAGAGAAAATACCAAAAATTCGCCATCGTGGCTCGAGTTCTGCAAAACACCCAGGACTTGGTCATTTTACGTTGTTGCTTTGCGGAGGACAACTAAGAAATATACAATTAAGGATTTTGATGTAAGCACACATCCATTGTTCTGCTCATTAAATCTTTTGTTTGGTGACGTTCTCGTTGCCGTTGCCGTTGTCGTTGTCTTCGTGGTTTGCTTTAACTCCCTAGCGTTACTACGCAGGAAAACTGGCACAAATCTTAACCATTTCTTTCAAGTCTCACAGTTAGCTATTCTGGTGGTTGAGCAAGGAAAATACAGTTGACAAAAGATGTACTCTGTCCACAGACCGTCTACTTTGTCTTGAGTTCGTCGAGATCGCAATTAGCAAAAGTATCAACCGGAGGGGATTTTAAAAAACGTCTGAACGCAAGGGAGTGGCCCAAGGGAAGGACAAAAGCTCTCCGCGCTAGAAGAAAAATTAACTCGTACCAAATAAATTAACGTCTGAGGACAAACTGAACAAAACGACGATCACATCACGGGCTTCAAACAAGATTAAGAGACCTTCGGGACACAATCTTTTTACAGGGTGAAGCTGGTCATGTTTGTGTGTAGGATACACTAAGTTGGAATATTTTTATATTCATTTGGTCGGCTTATTTGGTTATCGGCGAAGGGGAGGCCTAATGTTTGGAGGACTTTGTATATGGTTAACTTTATGTTTGGAAGTGATGCTGCATCTGGAACATTTTAGCCCTGATAAAACTAAACAGCACCGAATAGCTATAATTCTATGCAACTGTCCTGGATTATCAGCGACAGTCTCCAGGTTACAGAGAGTTTCCCGGATTGGTTCAAAAAATTGACTCGCGTAACTTACTTTCTCATGCGGTATTTTCCTTTTAACCAATCGTTCGCGCGTTTTCCAGCGGTTAGCACTCTAACACGCGTTTAAGAACAGGACTACAACAACATTTTGGTCAGTCTCGGCAATTATTCTAGCCCATCCTTCTCTTTCCTGTATTAGTGGTTGTCAAGAGGTAACGTTTTTCTACGTCAAAAAAAATGTGGAAGAGAAAAATCAAACCAAGCTTAAGAGAATTCTCTTGATCAAACACGAAAGACCGTCTTTGAGCCCGTTTTCAAACAACGAGGAGAGAGTTGAAAATACGACGCGCAGCGGAGTATTTTTGTTTGGAAATATGGTCAAAAACTGTCTTGAGTTTTTTATATATCTTCTCAATCGAAACTAAAGAAAACGCGGAGAAATAAAATCATAAAAACGGTCATCATTTCTTTTGTTTAAACTTGATGAATTATTAATGAATTTAAGAATAGACTTTGTAAAAGCAAACGATCAAAGAATTTGTAGGCCAAAGAATATGGTTAAATCTCGCGTATAACAACCTGGGCGATCAAGAGCCCACAGCTTGAAAATTACCATTTAAAGACTCATTTTTACGAAAACAAATTCAGCCTAAAATTTGGAACAGGTTGTAATTTGGAGAGCAAGTATAGCGTTGGTACAGAATCTGTTGTGTTTCATTGGAAGATTGTATAGGCAAAACATTAGCATTAATTTTTGAAGACATTACGTATACTCATACACAGGTAATTGTATCTGATCATCAGACTCATGAAATACAACCCAGTATTCTAAAGAGTGAGATTTATTGTTTACTTCCAGAAAATACCATACCTCCCAATTCCAATTCCAAGTAAGCCACATCCGTTTCTTTAATTTTTTTTGGTTGTACAGAACCCCTCCCCCCCCCCCTCTGGACAGAAAATTATACGCTGTTATACGTGGGATTTTACTGTATTTATCTGCCTTCAACCAATATTTCCAATGGTAATGCAATTAACTGCATCAGAACCTTCGTCCAGAAGCAAACATTTCTGGTCACTTAAACATCGATTGTACGAAAGAGCCACCTGAACAGTTTCCTAGTCAAAGAGTAGGTTTCTCTGAGGTTTACGTAACTGACAGTGTTTGGTCTGATCTGATTGGTCAGCGACGCTCCGTGCTTATTCCGGGAGAAGAGAAAAGATTAAAGCGAAAAGAGAGGAAAAAAGTGAGGTGAAATGAAACGAAAATAGATAAAAGCAATAAATTCATCGACTGATTCAGTCATGTCAGCGTTTTATTGTTTTCTGACAACTTTGCAGGGCATGGTTCCATGTATCTAAAGTCTAGACCCTTGCATTTTAACTAAAACCGGTCAAACTTTTCTTCACATGCTGCTTCAGTATTACCTACAAAACAAAAGAAACGAAAGTTCACAGCCTACTAATGAAGAAATTGAACGTGAAATTAAACCTTGTTTTGCTTGTTGTACTGCTTAGCGAGGGACGGACCATTACACAAGTTATTGAGGGGATTGAGAATTCGTCACATACATGCATTTTTCAGTCAAATTTACCATGTTTAAATTTTTAAAAGCAAAACTATCTTTGATGGTAAAAATAGGTTATGTCTGTTATCGGTCCTTGAATGAGCTGAATGAACCGTTTCACCGATGTCACCGCAATATTAGCAATTGTTCGTAATTTTCAAATAAACAAAAAATCAATTCAAAATCATAGTTCAATGCATCATGCCATATTTAGTAAATCTACGAAGTTTCATAAGAATTCGTTGCACTCTCATAAACGTATGGACCCCAAACGTACAAAGAAATGTATCCCAGGGGACAAGCTTTGCCCCTCAGTATATATACATTTCTTTGTAAAAATTACCAAGTTAAGGATCCCATATTTTTATGAGTTTGCAACGAATTCTAATGAAAGTTGGCACATTTAGAAAATTCGGCATGATAAATCGAGCGGCGAAGTTTATTTTTTGTTTGAACGAAAACATCGGAAAAGCGTGACTCGACAAAAACCTCCATTCCTTTGGCGGTAATTCTTACCATGTATTGCATGTAAATATATAATCGCAGGTTTAATTGTCCCTAAATTAACTAATATGGATCCCATACTGCGTTGAAATAAAGTATCTTACTTTGTATTAAGCCTCCTGGAAGCGCATGAGAGTTTAAGAATTTCTTGAATCTTCGAGATAAGTTTGCTGAACTCAGCCACTTGAACCACGTTATCCTCTTTGCCATTAGCGATTTTTAACAACTCGGCCTTGTCCACTGACATACCAACACCAATAGCAATAATCTTAACGTTTTGTTCCTGTTTCAGTGAGAGAGAAAAAAAGGTTGTTCTAAATTTTCACTTCACTTAAGGAAATTTATCGACAAGTCATCCCTCTGTATGATAAAGAACGTATGCTGAACTATCCCTTCCCCACTTTATATAGGGGTTAAATCCGGTCCCGGGGGGTACTCCCTTATATGGGCTATATAGGTATGTGCGGCCCCAAAGGGTAGGGTTTTTCAGCCGTTTTGGTCATAAATAGGGTATCGATTTTGGCCATTTTGGTTGTAAACAGGGTATGGTTTTAGCACTCTAGTCTTGAATTGGGTATTTTTCTTAGAAGAAGCTACCTTTTCATCTTTATCGATAAAACCGTTAACAAGAGCCCTTCATAACTTATGCTTGGGGCAACTGTGTCAGCCGCAACGGCCATAAATAGGCTATCGAATTTTTGGACAGGTCATAAATAGGGTGGCAAAAAACGCAGATTTTGGTCATAACTTGGGTAAGCCAAGCTTGTTCGGTCAAGATGGCTGGATAGTGGCCTCCTTCTTTTTTAATGTATTTTTACTTTTTTTCAAATAGCCGAGAGGTAACCCTCTTCGCCCAACCCTCTCCTACTATTTTTACTCTGTTTTTGTTTTTTGTTTTTTTATTACCACAAATGGCTTCAGAACGTCCTGGTATTTTTTGGACCTCTTGCTTGTCTTCCCATCAGTGATAACTAGCAGTACATGCGGGACGTTTGGTCTAGCGCCTTTTTCAAGAGACAAAAATTCTTCCTTAGCCTCTTCCAACGCTCTGTCAGTCCTAGTCCCTCCCGGCTGGTACTTCATGTTTTCGATGGCAGCCTTTAGAAGCTTGGCATTCTCCGCCACGTCACCTTTGAAGTTCCAGTCCAGGTAGGCTCTGTGATTGTAGTGGATGACGGCCAGGTGTGTCATACGGTGCGAGACCGGCAGCTTATCAACAAGCTTGATTAAAAAATCTTTCGCGTGTTCGTAGTTGTCACGTCGTACGCTACTGGACGAGTCCAGTACAATGCCGACATCCATTACCTTTTGGCAATCTAGCAAAAGAGAAAGAAGGACGCGTCTTTCCATTAACCAAAGCCTCTCTCATCGTTACAACAAAAGATCAAATCCTGTGCCACTCTTTAACCCCATGTCTAACCAGTAGCGTGACAGGCGTAACTAGCACTCGTCCATAGTCACAGACATACAACCTTTACAAAGGCACGTTTTAGTCACACACCACACCCCTTAACAAAGTCAAAATCAGTTTAAAATAGTATTGCAACATTTAGAAGGAGTCACCCTCACCGTCACACGGATTTTCGTTACATTTGACTGATTCCTCTGGTTCACCCTCACATGGCCGCCCATTTCCCTGCCTGGGGGGATTGGTACAAGACCTCTCTCTCGTCTTCTCTCCCCCGCCGCAGGTCTTACTGCATTCTGTCCACTGAGACCAGTTGGTGTAATTTCCATCAACATCCGGGGTTTGGGGACCTGGATCTTAAAAACAAATGAACAAATTATATGCAAAGTTGAATCTCCTTTTACAAGAGAACATCGCATTATCTTGATGTTGTCTTCTCTTCTATTTATTGTCTGAATTTCAAAACAAACGGTACTGCTACAGAAACTGAGATGAGTTCCGACAGCATGGCAGCATTTTGCCTTACCGAGGCATTTTGCTGGGAACCATTTACACTCTTAGAGATGGAGAGACAAAGGGCGCTTTCCATTCAACCAAAAATTCCGAAAATTTCGAAACGGGAGCAAATTGTACGAAAATCTCCTGGGAAAGTTTCCAGAAAATCCAGAAAATGTTGAATTACCGAAAAGTGAAGTTTTCAACCGAAAATGCCGCGGGGAAAGTCAAATGGAGCAGAAATTCTCGGTACATGATTTTCTAAAATTTTGATATACCTCGCAGGGTTGTCCTCGTTTCCGGAAATTCTGAAAATGCTGCTCCATTCATCACTGGAAATTTTCAGAAATTCAAACCAAAATTGTTCATTGAATGGAAAGCGCTCAAAGTGAAGAGACACAGAGAGACAGTGGAAACAAAGGTTTTCCTCCCGACAGAGAAACACTGACATTTTGAGAAGCTGCGATACAACTGAGTTATTTTTTGCTACAATTAACTTACTTTCCGTCAGTTTGTAAACGTAGTTAGTCCATTGCGTGCCCACACACTCCTGGTTCGATGATTGGACGCACTCGGTTGGTTTGTTAAGATTCATGACGCACTTTTCATCCTCGGCTACTCCTTCACGGTTAAAGTTAAACTCGGCATTCTGTCCACTCCAACACTCACCATAAAACTGTAAACCAAAGACGGTGTAGCCTTTTGCAAGAGCTTTCTCAGCACATCGGCAGGCTAAGCTGAAAGAAAGGACAAAAATGCATGTACGTGTTATTATTAACTTTATATTTCACGTTGCAGTTATGTGTAGTCTGTACGTGTTGCGTGCCTACATACCATCAGTGAAATTTTTTTGGAAAACAGTAGACACACGCCAGTCTCTTAAATTAAGTTCGTTTAGAGGGATAATTCTCAATGATAGACTGTTTGTACCACGGGAAAAGGATGTTTGCTCCCGCCTGGAATTTGAACCAATCAACCTTCTTATAGAGCAAGCAGACCCCTTTACCTTCGTCTTCCTTTCCTTTCGCATAGTCATTTTCAACTCGTAAATTGCGTAAGCAAGTTAAGGGTTGTGGTGGTAGATCAGATTATGCAAATAACGGGTTGGTCCTGATCATCTAATAACTTCTCATCACAATTCTGCTGTTTCGCGGGTGCATATATAGGAAAACGAGTCACGTCACTGCGAGTGTCGCGCTAAAAATGGAACTGGTTGTTGAAATGGAAATGGCTGTTAAAACTTCTGCTTAATTTGTTGATCAGGGAAAGTGTTAGTGATAGCTTATAACTGTTAGTTCAAATAACTCAGATGAATTGTGTATTTAAATTTCCGGTTCAATTGTTGGTCTGTTCATCTCAATGGTTCGGCGTACGTCACGCAACGGTGATGTCATGCTGCGAAATGTTTAATTCAAGTCACGAAAAGCTTGGCTTCTTCCTGTCAGCATTGTAAAGTTTCAGTTTTTAAATACCCATTCTGCTGTGAGCATGAGGCCCGGAGAAAAGGTATTTGCGGAAGTTAACTGCCAGAATCATTATTTTCAGTAAAAAAAGCGTTGGTATTGCCTATTATTTTCTTCTTAACAAAATTAGTGTTTAAAAGAATAATTTCATAGCTCAGAACAAACATTTTTTAACTGGGAAATTCACGAGTTTGCTCATAGAGCACTTTAATTTCACTCGCACGTGACTTAAAAAACTTGAGAGGCTTTTCGTAGTCTAATGTGCTATTAATGTTAATAACTGAACCTTGCATGTATATACCGTGTACGTGATAAGGACCATTGTCAAGTTTGTAACACGCGAATCCTTGCTTACAATGTTTGTTTCATTAGCACAAGCGACTTACTGTAAGTTTTTCAGCCTCAAGTTGAGCCACAAAAATATCAACTCAGAATATTGAGTGGGTATGATATGATTAACCGTGCCAAGAAATTTGAGCCCGAGGTATCAAATGCTTTAGGGTCACGGGTTTAAGACCCGGGCGGGGGGGACTCCCATATGGAATGGACGGGGATGCTCGTCGTCTCGCTTAGGGGTGTAAATTTCGGATTTTGGTCTCGCTTAGGGTGTTCTGGACAAAATGTCATTATTTTTAACCGTCAAGGTCTCGTCAAGGGTTGCACGCGAAGAAATAACAAAACAGAAAGAATTTTGATTCTTTATATTTACTCAATTCATATAAACAAAGTTTTCCATACCATTAATATCTAAAGTCCACTGTAACAAACTGTCTTTGTCTATTGTTAAACTGGTCTGTTTTAGGGGTCTGCATAAGCTTCGGCCACGCCNGCTTACACAGAATGGTTATTTGATCACGGCTAAAAATATCCACATGCTTGTTATACGATTCTTGTCCTAATACCAAGTTTCGAGAGTAACTGGAACGTTGATCCCACCGCCAGCACGCCACCTTCCATCTTCGCCATCATCAAAAGTCACTGTACTTTTTATTTGTCTGTTTTATAAACTGGTCTCTTTTAGGGGTCTGCATAAGCTTCGGCCACGCCCAGATTGGTCTCTTTTAGGGGTTAAATTCAAAATTTCCCACGAGCATCCCCGTCCACTCCATATGGGAGTCCCCCCACGGGGTTTAAGAGCGCAAAATGTTATGCATGGGTTCATTGGCGCTTTTGACTCTACAGCCAACACTTCCTCTTGGATACTACACATATAGGGATAAACATTTCTTCATTTACTAAGTTTATGAAGCTCTTTGAACGATTCCATTCAAGTTGTACTCTACGTTGCGTGCACGGTCTATGCTAGTTACGCAAAATTTGAACAGTGGCTCAGGCAAGATTTGGGTACTGGGAGAGGTTTTCATTTGAGTGTCGTAGAACGAAAACTAAAGCAGTGGCACTGATGGCCAATCACAAGAAACGCCGTGACCAGCGAAATGAACCAATAAAAGCTCGAAGCAAGTACACGTAATAAGCGCCAAACGCGAGAAAACGCCACCAACCAAAGCGCAGTTGGTTTTGATTTAAGATCTAATTGCATTATCCAGTAGGTGGTGCGAGAGTTTTTAACCAATCACAGAGCGCAGTAATACAAAACCAAAGTAATTACGAGTTACTGTCGACACTCAATTGTAAATCGTTCTAGTTTGATTACCTGTGAGTTGATTCCTTCCACTTGTGCCAGTTTAAACGGTAGCCCGGTTCGTGATATTTGCTGTGTTTATCTCTGTCATTCAGGAGCATTTCGTCAAGTACTCGGTTTTTGCTGCTGTCTTTGAAACAACCGATTTTTGTCCAGGCTCGGTCGCATGTTGCAAACTTGTTTTGGCCTGTTTAGCATTAAAAAGGTTAAAAGAGTGATCGAGTGATCAACTATGGGGAGAATCTAATCATCAATTGTCTTTCTTGCATTTGTGTTAAATTGTCCAATTAAAAGTAATCCATAAGAATATGAAGTTACAACTTAAATTTTGTCGTATTTACAGTAGAACTTTTGAACGATCCAAGACACTCAGTGAAATCTCTGTACAACAGAGTGGCAGTTGTACAGAGATTGAACTTTGTCCCTAATGAAAGACATCCGGGACATGATTTAGTGCTCGCTGCCATTATGTCAAGGATTTTCTTTCTATAACTGTCACGAAAGGTCCAATAATAGCTCTTAATTTTGTTTGCTCGCATGGTTTTGACTCGTAAGACGGTAGTCCTTGTTGAATTTTGCGCTACATCTCGGCTGGCCTAAAAATACCAATACGATAGTATATTTTGCAACCCGACGTTAGAAACAAAAGCAACACTTATGCTGATTTCGTAATTCTCGCATATTGACTGTTATGTATTTAAGCAGCCGTCACGTAGGATTTCGATCGATTGCGACTTTGATCCCCCGAGACCTTGGTTGACTCGAGAAGGGACCATCTGTAACAAGGTTACGTTAAAATTACCAGAATTCGTTTAAGACTCGCACATATATGTATAGAGCTCATTTCCTTTTGTTAATCAATTATTGTCAATTTAAACGTAGTTGGTTTGATTTTGAAAATGAACACACATTAAACTGACTGACAAGTTGATTTTGCATTTTAATTTAGCCCTTCAATTAGCCTAAATCACTGTTGAAACATACTAAGCAAAACAAAACATTGTGTATTTTTCCGATTTTTTTTTTTTCGTTTGACAAACTTCGTTTCCGCAGTATTCTCCACAATGAGAAAAGAATGCAACATTTTGATCCTCGCAGATGATTACATAGATATGTACCCGCTCTTTGAGCTCTTAAACATTGAGACTTGCGCGTTTTTGTCTTCTTCCTTTCTTCTGCTTAACAAAAGCGAAAGAACTGGAATTTCTTCCAAAGAAATTTTTATGAGAGTTCCAAAAACAAAAGTTGTTTGTAAATAGAAACGGTTTCAATTTGTACGAAGCCCAGAAATTACGAAAATGATTTCATGGCGCCATATTATACTACTTGCAGTGTGAATATAAACGTGGAATACTAAGTTAAACCCTCTCATAGAAAGTGTTCCCTTAATTTTTTTTTCTTTGGTAGATCATGTTAGTTTTAAGATCACAAAACAATTATTGATAAGCACTACTGGGTAATGCTACAAAATAAAGGTTTTATAACAGAATACAGCAGTACCCTTTTTGGGAGGCCAAGAAAACTCTCTGTTCTATATTTCGCTCCCTGTATATATCTTTAGTCAGTATATAAATGTATCAATTTAAACGCTTGGGGAATATGAAACCATTTATTGAAATGTCTGATTTTTAGGATGGGGAGAAAAAAAATTGATTCATGCAATAGATTGCAATAGCGTAAAACCGATTTCACCAGTTCGCTTTTTTTTTAACATCTAAGATTATTTAATAACATGTGAGTAACCTACCTTGAGCTTGCAAAGTATAAAAAGCAAAAAGAACTGAAGCCAAAAGAATCTTCATGACTTTAGTTTAGCCTAAGAGAATGAAAGACTTCCTTACGAAATATTTCTTCAAAATTAAACACAGTCCTAAAAACTAGATAGCATAAATGTGAATAAAATTAATATCTTAGTTGTTCAGTTGTATGATTAATTAAAATCTTTTCAGTCTGCGACGATTTGATTTATGTTTTCTAGTATTTATCACCAGTTCAACTGAACAAAATCTTTCTCACCTGATTATTGTCTCCGAAAATGTTCCAACTGAGTGGATAGTCTTTCACTGCAAGATTCATTATATACGTTAATAGACTGGGCGGATAAAGGGTTAAGAACAATTATGTTAATTGAGAGCAAACATTTATCGAACTAACACGTATTTTATCCACTGTTTTGTTTCTCCCATTTACTAGGGGGCAGTGTTTACACAAATCGGAAATTAAATTGCTAATGACCTGAACTGAGCAATTTTGGTTCCTTACATACTTCTTATATGTTTGTTTTTCATTGTGACTAGCTGAAAATGTAGCAACTCAGTAGTAAACGTAAGATCAGTATCTATACGTGTAAACTGGGGTGGAAATGTTTTCGACATTTTTGTTATGTTTCGCAAGAATAGTTGTGAAGTCTTGCTGCATGTCTGCAGTGAATAAAAGCTTTATAGACTCTGACCAATAACAAGACTGCTCTTTAAATTCGATGGAAAATTGGTGAGACAAAGAAAGTAATAAAAAATTAAACAAATCGATACAGAGCAGTGACTGGTTTGTGTTTAATCAGGTGATTTAATGTGCCATGCGCTTCTTTGTTTTAACCGTTTAAACGAAAATATATCTTTTTATGCCCAGTCCAGCTACTGTCTCTGTCACTTTTGCGTGCATAAATGCGAGTAAATCATATTGCATAATATTGGGATTGACACAAAAAAACTTCTGTAAGTTAAGTTAAGTTTACTAAAAGTGAGTAGTAAAATAAGGAAGCATCTTCCCTGCCTTGTCAATCCAAGCAAACCATGCAAAGTCAATAAAGACCGTATTTCCGATTTTCTCTTGAATACGTTGCAATATCGAAGAAACAAAGGAACAAATATTAACAAAGGAAAGCTAAGTATTTAACTAACCATCGATTAAAGAGATTTTACTAAAATTAAAAATGCTAGCGAGCTATTCCTCTTCTACACAATAATGGAGTATTTGTTTACTGCATTTTGAAAAATGTACCTTTCCATGGTTTGACCAAAAAAAATTCCTTTCACGGCAAAAAAAAATACGCACAATTCTATTTGATTAGTTTCTTTTTCTGTTTCTTAATTTTAGTTTTTCAACCTTATCACGTCTCCATGTTTAGCTTTAAAAATTTCGCTCCACTCTGAACTACACCCGTGGGAGTAGTGTTGAACCGCGCTAATTCGAACTCGGTTATTTCGAATTCCCCGTTGTACAGTTGGTCTCAAAACCATTTGCCTTGGATTTGCCCTTCAGCCATTTACTACCAGCTATTTCGAACTCTCGTTATTTCGAACAATTTCTCGTTTCTCCTGAGAGTTCGAAATAGCGAGACTAACTGTATAGTTAGACCCCGCTAATTCGAACTCGGCTATTTCGAATTCCCCGTTATACAGTCGGCCTCAAAACCATTTCCCTTGAATTTGCCCTTCAGTCACTTAGTACAGGCTATTTCGGACTCTCGTTATTTACAACTAGTCTTGTTTTCTCTGAGAGTTCGGAATAGCGGGGCTCAACTGTATAGTGACCTGTGCAGCTTTCTATAACAAACATTGGGTAGATTCCTAGAAATTCCCCCAGTGGTCAGTTGTATACTTTTCTTAGTGGCGTGTGCCAACCCATGAAAAAGCATTTTTTTGCAGGCTTTTCTCGCATATGTCCCGCTGGCTAAGGTGAAAAACTCGGCTAAATATTACTTTTACGATCATTTTGTCTTTTGTTTTTATGTTTTGTTGTTTTGTTGTGTAGACTTCCATTTCTTGGGGTCGAGAAAACTCCTGCTTGACGTTCTCTAATCTAGTGACGTTTGTATCTAATTCGAAGAGAACATGAAGGCTCTGATAGGTCTGTTACAAAAGGATGTTAAGTTCTCACAAGACACCTGCGCATGAACCACTACCAGGCGCAAAATTGCACATCTTGATCCGAAGTCAACACGAGCCATTAAGCTCCTGCGCCTGTGGAAACTGAAAATGCATTTAAAAATCTCTTTTCGTGATTACTGAGTATGACAATCAATGACTTAACGAGATGAGCATAAAGCTAGAGAGAAAAATGCACATATTCTTTTCAAACTTTACTTAACAGCAAATTCGTCAGTTGGTCTATGTACTTGCGCACTAAGGTCATGTGACGACGTTGCTAGAGCAACAATAGCATAACACCATATATGGACTGCGGTTGTAGATGAAATTGAAGAATGATCATCGCAGTATATTTTCCAATTTAAGCAATTGGAAAGAAGAAGCCTGAAAAAAATCAGGGCTTCAACGGGATTCGAACCCGTGACCTTTTTTCAGGCTTCTTCTTTCCAATTGCTTAAATTGGAAAATATACTGCGATGATCATTCTTCAATTTCAAAAAAATTAATGTTGGAAAGTGTTCGCGCGAACGTCCTAAAAGTGTATATGACACGAAAAATAATTTCTGCTTATTAGAAAGGCCTTTCAAAATAAAGACGGATGGCGTTTTTCGTTTTGAAATATCTTTTTTCGTTTTCGAGATATTGACGTTTTTCTATTGTGCAAATTAGATCAGTGATGACGTCATATTGTTTGCAACTAAAAAGTGGAAATACTGATTAAACGATATCTCTGGAAATATTGAAGCAGTGTTCTTGAAACTTGGCACCAAAAATGTGCATCTCAAAAGGAACAAAATGACACCCTTAGTGCTGTTGCCATAGTAACTCTTTCGGTTCCAGTCTCTTTCTGTCAAAAAACCAAAAACCCCCATTTGCAGCCTCTTAAAGTGAGGCAAAGGGTCCTACTTGGAACAGACATAGTTCCCATATTGTCTTAACTCCCATCATTAGATTGGGTGGGGTAGATGGGTCTTGGTTTAAGACAAAAACCGGAAATTTCATTTTTTTTATTAAGGCAGCACTAGCGGCAAAACTGTTGTCGTGGCAACAGCACTAAGGGTGTAAATAGGAAAATGGTTCTTTCTTCTTTCTTTTAGCTTTGGACTACGAGTGGACTAGCGGTCAATCGACCAATTTGTGTGCATTCTGAGTTTTGTGCACTATTGTACGGCATATTCACTGAATTAGACGAGGGAAGTTTTTCTACAGACATTTTTGTCTTACGAGCAAGCAAGCGAACCCGTCATTATTTAAAATATTACCTTTGCGCTGTCGGCAAATTTGTAAGAGAACGGTAACTTGGGAGAAAACAGCGAGAAATCAACAGGAGACGGGAGATAAGCAGCTTATAAGCTTGGTATAACTAAACAAGAACAGAAGATTAACACAGTTTATTTACTCGCTTTTCTTGAGGAATCTTGTTTCGATCGAAAAGACAAAATTGTGAAAAATCGTAATCTATGCAAGTGGAATTTACTATAACAAAAATAGAAATTTATAAAGTTGAGGGAGTTATTATCAGAGAGTAAAACTCGTTAAAAAACGTTGCTGATCAGTGAAAGCCTAATTGCGTCTTCATCATAAATACAGTTCAAGTGATTGCACTATTAAACGTTTTATTCGTTTCGTTTTTTAACTCGGTTTTCTTGCAATCCTTACACATGTTCGACGAACTGACTGAGCACAGATTTAAACGAACTATGGCTTTGGAAGAATCTATTTGAAAAGAACTTTCGCGTAACTGTTGTCGTGCTGTTGAAGTTGTTAATGTAACCAGGAGACAGTTTTCGATTCTCCGAGGAATGTTTAATTCACTCTTTTGGAAGAAACCGATTAGTGATTTTCCTACTGCTTGATTTTAATAACTGCGTTTTCAGTAAATCTAAATCTGTTTTCCGATTTCTACCCCAAGCGCTTACACACTTCAAGTTGATTATTTAAGAAGAAAAAAACACTGAGGCGAAAACGGGCTGATTCAGTTGACTCAAACCGTTTAACGTCGCACCGGATTAGAGGTAAAGACTTTATCTGGGAAGCTTTTCAAAGAAAATATTTCCTTAGATATTGAAACCAAACAAATACAAATACTTCCCACGAAGAGCAAAATGATATAACGTAATATGTTAATTTTAATAACCGATTGTAATTTTAGATAAAAGCCTCTTAGCTGAAGGATCGATTCTTAAATTAAAAATTATAAATCACGAGTTAAGGAAATCATTTGAAGTCACCTTGGTGCTGGCTCTTTCATGAACTTCCGAAGCACTTACATTGGAGGCTCAGAACTAGAATCACGGAGAGTAAACTGACGTAAAATTCACCAGGCAAGGTATGGCAGTAAGCGGTTCTTGTTATTCTTTGTAAATACCTTACCAGCTGTTATGAACCATATCACCTTAAGCTTAGGGCGCCCCAACGCCACTCTCTGTCAGTTGTATGAAATGTGTACGGATGGGCTCATAGAAAAGTTTAAGTTTCAGGTCATTAAATTCTTACATGTAAAGAAACACAACGACGAAGCGTGTAATCTCTAAAGTATTGTTAGCAAGTGGGGAATGTTTTTTTTTCTAAAGAGAACTCGAAGGAGTGTTTGACATGTACTCCAGGGCTGTCTATACGTTAATCATTTTGTTCTTTTTCATTTTGTTTTTTTCAGTGTTTCAGGGATAAGCATTAAGATAAACCGTTTCGGCGTAAAGATGAACTTCGGAGCGGTTGTTTTCATAATATTATCAGCTCTTTCGGTCGCAAAAGGTAAGTCAGTCCACATGAGCTTTAATAAAATACCTCAGTGCTGTCCAATATCGGCATTGGTCGTTGTCTATGTGAATTATGTGATATCGGTCGAAATGAGCAACAGAAACAGTGAAGGAAAATATATGTACCGTTGTTCCTTGACGCTTTTTTAGCAGTCTTTTATTAATATGCCAACCGTGTTAAAGCTGGATCAACAGATACGCACGGTATGCTTTGGTTGGGGGGGATTGCTGGCAATTAGAGGGATACTTCACAGAGGACTTGACGTACGGAAATTAAATTGACATTTTTAAATGTTCTCTATTGAACACGGAACTTCAGTGCCTTGCTTGTTGACCTTCAGTTTACATGTGTAACATTCTTTGCAAAGTAAGTGAACAGATAAACTTTTCTCAGTCACGACTATCATGCGGCAAAGTGAGGCACATTTGAGC